CCATCTATCTAATGAATGTGAAGCAAATCACATTCAACAATGTGATTATTGCATTCAGTTGTAATTCTTACTTCCCAGTTTGTAAGGCTTTTGATCTCGGGGCATTGATATAATATAGATCACTTTACCCTTTGCAAAGGAACAGAAGGCCCCAGGGGCCATTCTGCCTCAGGCGGGAAAAGTCTCAGGGCTCATCCTGAAGTTCAGATGGGAGAGAGAATGAACTGGACATTCCTGCAATTCACACCATTTGCAGGAATTCCTTCCCCTTGGCAGCTAAGGTACTAGGAGGGAAGGGAACCAGTGGGCTATCTAGAATGGAAAGCAGCAGGCTTCCGCTGCTGCTACTACTGGTGGAGCAGGCTGGGACACATTGCTTTGTGGTGGGTCACCCCTGGAGCACAGTCCTCTCGGAAAAAGAGGGGAGCAACGTTATCAGCTAAGTGGGTTGGCATTAACCAGGTTTCATTGAGGGAGAGCCGGCTTGCTTCAGGAGTGAGTTGGTAGAAGGGGTTGCTGGCAGTGCTCCTACAATTGGAGCTAATGTTAGAGGAGGATGGGTCACCAAAGCAATTATAGTTCAAATCCAGGTTAGACAAACAGGGAGGCGGGAAGCTGTGGAGTCAACTGAGTGTGAAACCTCTCACTCCCGCTCACGCAACGGAAGAAAGGAGGGAAGCCTCTGGGCTGAGGGAAAGCTGGGTGGGAGGGAGCTAAAGGGGAAGGGAGGGGCCAGGAGAGGACGGGTGCAGCTGGGGACAAAGTTGCCTCCTTGGGACTCACAGGCAGGCATGTGCCCAACTAGGAGTAATGGGGAAGGCTTTCTGTCTCATTTCTTCTCCCCACCCCCGCCCCATCCTGGGGTGTAGAAGCAGAGGAAGAGCTAAGAAGAGAGCCAGAGTCCTTTGCTGAAAAAGGGGCTGGCCCCTATTGTGAGCCGGGGCAAGGAGAGCGCGGGAAAGGAGCTGTGGGGCCAGGACAATGGGGGAAGGGGCAGTGGTCCCGGGCTTCCTGACATGTTCATTTTGGAATCTGTCAAAACAGTCACCTTGGGCTCAGGGACTGATCACTCAATTGAGAGCTCCCACAGAGAGAATTTAGGGGGGCGGGATGTGAGCTGGAAAGTCATGCTTCAGTGTTCCTGGGGATCCTTTCTCCAGCCCAGGACTGGCAGGAAAGGGGCTTTGATGACATCATTGCCGGGGCAAGGGAGGGAATGCAGAACAAAAGGGATTATGGACAGGATTTGGAGAATCCCAAAGTGGAAAGAGTGGAATTGGGCAACTCTTTTCCACAACTCTATTACTTTAAAGTCCTGTTTAGCCTGTGAGCATAAAAAACAACAGTAAAACACCCAGTGAGCCTTCAGCTTTTATATGTGTTTACCTGATACTGTTTTTTCCTTCCAAATGACAGATTTGCAGAAACCTGTGCACAAACACAGGCTTGTGCGCTTAATTCATAGTCAAAAGAGAAGAGACAATTTTTCCAATGTAACTTAACGTTTTGGCAAACTGTACCCTGTGGTTTGCTGTAGAGCAAGCCAGAAATTGAGTGTGTGCCTCTAAAGTTAGAGCGACTGCGAAGATTCCTGAATATCTTGCATATTTGTCTGCTCCCCACATCCCAAATTTTATCTTCCAGATCTGTTAGAAATGTTCTAAATTAAAAGTTTAAAAAAAATTATGATTCTCAAAAATGTTTAAGCACTTGGGTGGGAACCTATTTGAACAGAAGATTCTGAAGAAAACGGAATGTAAGAATGCAAAATATGTATGAAATTTAGCATGTAAACAATATTGCCAGATTAATGCTTTTATTAAAACAATACTTACAAATGTGTACCAAGTTTAAGCTGTTACACCCTAAGAAACCAAGCACATCTTTAATACCCATTTTTTAAAAAAGAATAAAAATAAATTCAGTTCAGTTCAGTTCCTTTATTTATATGCCGCCCTTTTCCCTGAGGGGACTCAGGGCGGCTCACAAGTCAGGGGAGGGGAGGACAAACAAGTCATGAACAAGATACAATACATTGTTAAAAGATAACCCAACAGTCATACCATTCGGGTGGGGGTTAGGTCCTTAGCCTAGAAGGTATGAAGAGGTCTCTCTAGTCACGTAATGTATTTTGCGCTTTTGCTCTGAGCTCTGTGGATTTCAGAAGATGAAAGGTTTACATGAATTGAAAATAGTAGATTGACACCACTCGCCACTTTTGAAATCTTTGTACTTTGCTTAGTTTTCAAACATGCATCGGATTATTCCTCAGCACAGAAGACAGGAATCTCTGAAGGCAGTGGTGTCAAAGGCTAAATTGTGAAACAATTTTGCTCTGGGGTTAGGAGTGATATGTTGGGCAACTTCTCAGATTGGACTGAACTCCTTGATCAAACTGCTCCTTCTCCGTTCTAGAGCAGAATCTTACTCTGTTGATCAGTTTCACTCAGGGAGGTCCTCGCGGAACTCTGAGCTTTACAACTAGCAAACTGCATTTTAACATAGGCTGCTGTGTGAACCCAGCTCATTTTGCTAGTTCATGGTTCAGAATGTTCTGAGGGCACTTGAGTAAATCCCAGTTCAGTTATGCCTGGACAAGCGTGACATACTAACACAACCAGTTGAAACTTTTTTTTCTGTACCAAGTTAAATCTGGGACACGGACATATTTATAAGTTGCTGTTTTAAGTGCAGCTATACTTAAGATCTTCCATCACTCCTAAAGTTGGAATTGGTGATATAACAAAAAGTGAGTAGCTAAGCGGAGTTTTCCTAGTGTGTTGAGACTGTAGCAATTCAAATTTCCACCTTGAGCTTTTTGGTCGCACTCTTTGAAGATGGTTATGAGAACAATATTTCAGGTTAAACACATCTGAAGGGTACCTGCCTGAAGAAGTCTGGCATATATAATGGAAAATCCTGCTACACAACCATTGTGCCTTAATACACTAGGGATGTAAGATTTGGATGCTGGGATAAAAATAGCTTTGCTTTGTAGAGTTTGTTAAATGGCTCATTCCATCGCTCAAAGTATTTGTAAGATAGCAGGGAGAGCAGGGAAAACTTATCATTTGCATTGATCATTCCTTCTTTATATTGGGCAGAGATATTTGACAGTCACATGCTTGAGACAGAAGAGGAGCATCTGGTTTTGGATCCTGGAAGCCAGCTGAAGCTCTACTGCAGCACCAATCACAGTCTTGCTGTCACGTGGTATAAGGAAAACAAGCAACTTTCCCCTAGTGAGCGCGTCCACATTCAGCAAAATTTGCTGGAGATCCCTGAAGCCACCTATGAAGATTCAGGATTATACTCCTGCCATGCGTGGAATACTGGGAAAAGTCTGCGTAACTTTACTATCTCTGTTGTAGGTAAGAGCATAAGACTAGGAAGGATTGCAGTGGTCTAACTGGTTTCAAAATATCCAAAGAGATTTACTGTTTTCAAAGAAACACAGGGAGCAGCTTGAGGTATGCTGAATCAGATCACATGATCCACTGAGCTCAGGATATCATCAGCAGACATGGTGCAATTTTAAACCAGAGCCTTTCTTACTCTTGCTTAGAGGTGCTCAGGGGTTGAGATTGTGCCCTGTCACACATCATACCATTTAACCAGAGGTGGGTTCCTACCAGTTCGCACCTATTCGGTAGAACCAGTTCATCAAATCTACCTAACTGGTTAGAAGAGGTTCCA